GTTCCCGCAACAGAGGGGGTGCATGGCGTTCAAATGGCTCTGAGCTTGAGCCCCCACTGTCTGAGCGTTCCCGGGGAACCAGGCCTAAAGAAAACAAAGATATCACACTGTCGTGGGCCTTCAATGCCAAAAGAACCTCTGTGTGAGAGCAAACACCACCTGCAGCTCCTGTTCTGTGAGGGTTTTGCCTGTCTCATGAACACAAGTCAGCCACTCCGCTTTCCTATGAAGCAATCACGCCCCACAGATAAACTGTGCCCAATGAAGGATCACTATTTACCTCTTTCCCAAGCCCACTCTCACAAGACCCTCAGAAGTGCCAAGCAGATAGAGACCACCATGGTCTTTGGCTATCGGTCACACAAAGACAGCATTCCCTCCTGGGACTAAGGAGGTCACCAGTACTCCCATGGACCCATACCAGAGGGATGTACACCAGGAGGGTAGAAGTCCAGAGGGGGCCGGCCCTGGAGAAGCCGAGGGTCCACGTAAGGAGGAATCATCATCCAGCGGGGGTCAAAGTTCATTGGAGGCATTGGTGGGGGCCGGCCCAGAGCACCTGGGTACAGGGCTTTGGGAGGTGGGGGTGGTGCCTGTGGGGCAGGTACAGCTCCCAGGGTCACAGGCTGTGGTGGTGATGGGGGCACTGGGGCAGGAGGGGCAGTGCCTTGTTGCTGCTGCTGCCACTGCTGTTGCTGCTGCTGCTGCTTCAGGAGCTGCTCCTGTAAGGAATGAGACAGGATGAGAAGGTTACCACAGCCCACACCCAGGGCATCAGTACAGGGAACGTTCAGATATGGAGCGGAGGGAACTATGCTACAACAGAAAGACAAACCCAGGCCTGAAGACAGCACATGAAGGGCAGTGAGGAGACAATCAGCCCCAATGTGGAAAGAACTTGGCCTCACCTGTTGCTGCCGCTGGAAGCGAGGTGGCAATGACTTCTGGTATTTGGGGTAGCCTAAGCCCTGACTGGGGGGCTGGCGAGCAGGACCAACCCCATCGCCCTTGGGTTCCACCTTTGGGGCTGGGGGTGTGGTAGGTGGAGGAACCTCTTCTGGTGGTTCAGGACCCTCTTTGGAAGGTAGTTGGGGTTCCGCTGCAGTGAAGGACAGTGACTTGGTCCATCACAACAGTCAAATATCCCAGAAATTCCACCCCTAGTTAAGTATTCAACAAAATACAACTGTGTAAGCGCTCATCCTGTTTAAGAGCCATAAAAATACTTTCATGCCTCAAGCATCCTTGTGATACTTGAGAAAACATAACTACAGAGAAGTTCTGCTCTACAAGACATTCAGATTCTCCTCCCACAGACCCTGCCACTCTCGGGCACGGACACCTGTCTTTACTGCCCAGGATCCCCTAGGCCTAGCAGACTCGACACCCAGTAGACCCTGTTCTCTTCTCCATACCTGGGCTGGCTTCGAAGCTGCCACTGCTGGTGCTACTGGCAGTGCCACCCCCACTCACCAAAGTGGGAACTGGAGCCACACCTGGACTGGGGGCGGGCTGCACAGGAGGGGCTTGTGCTGGCTCCTCAGGTTCTTTCTCTGGTGTTGGGGTTGGTGTCGGTGGCAGAGCTGGAGGTGTAGGGATTTCTTTGGGGACTACAGGTGGTAGAGCTGGGGCAGGAGGGGTAACAGGTGGGGCTGCAGGCTCTGCCTTGAGCCGCTTGTCAGGTGCGCCAAACTTCTCATCAAGACGCTTAAGTTTCTCAGCACAGGCTGCTCGGCGCTCCTCCTGCATGCGCCGCTCTTCCTCTTCTCTGCGCCTTCGGGCCCGTTCCACTGCCAGGGAGATCTCTGAGGAAGACTGCTTCCGGCGCTGCCGCCACGCCTCATCCTCATCTTCAGGTGCTGGAGGTTTGCAGGGAGGACCCCCTCGATCCTGGCAATGGGCAAACCCAGCAGGCCAGGCATGTCAGTCACTCTGCCTTCTCCCACCTCTTTCAAGGACCACACAACTATCTACAGCTACAGGATAAAGACCAGGCCTTGGAATGGTCTCTGGGTGAAGACAAACTCCTCACCTTTCTCTCTGTTCCTTTGTCACTTTGGAGACCTAGTCATGCAGGCCTTCCTTCCCAACATCCCAACTCATTTCCACAACTCTCCTACAACCAAAGGCTCCCAAACTTTTCTCAGACACAACCCTAGCTGTCATTACCGTCAACTAGTCAGTGGATGCCCCCCACATCTGACCCTCTCAACCCCGAATTGTAGATACTCACTGGGTAGTCCCCAGGGGGCCCCCAGTTCCCAACAGGCCCCCGGTGAGGTGGAGGTGGGGGAGGCTTTGGGGTAGGAGGAGCTGGCTCTGTCTCTGAAGGCCGAGAGTTCTCTGTCCAGGCTGTCTTGGGAGGGGGCAGTTCGCTGCCAGGGGAGGTGCCCTTTTTGCCATCTGTCTCAGGCTCCTCAGCAGCAGCTGACTGGGGATCCTTGCTGTGGGCAGATGACAGTATAAGTAAGCTCTGCTGTAACCAGCCCTTCTATGAAGACGATTACACCACGAGAAGAGCAGAGCCCCCTCCTCTGTGCCCTAACTCACTGGCCCTCAGCTCCCTCCTCATCGGAGTCACGCCCATCTTCCTCATCGCTGAATTTGAGCTTTTCAGTATAGTCGACCTCTTCATGGGCCCCTGAGGTAAAAGGAGATGGACATTAACTAAGCAGTGTGCTCTCCAATCCCAGACAGCTTCCCAAACACAGCAGTCTGGAACCGTCAATGCTAACCATGCTCACCCCACGTCCCGTCCTCCTCACTCCTTAGTACTCAGCAGCACTAGGCTTTCTATCGTTCCCTCTCTCCTACCCTTTCCCATCCACCTTCCTCTCACACGGCCTATCATCTCCTCATCACATTTTACGTTTGAGGATCCAAATACTCATATTCACCTGCCCAACCATCATCATTTTCCTGGTCCAACTGGTCAAACTCTTTGAGATTATCCTCTTTAAGAATAGAAGGCCGACCCACAGGCTCTACAAGGCGCATTGGTGGCCCTGAGCCCCGGGGGCCCGCCACACGGGGAAAACGGCTGTGTATTGGAAAAAAAAAGGAGGGGGGGGAGCAATGTTAAATATAGCACGTAGCAGAATCACATACAAAACTGAACCCCCTAGGTAGAAAAACCATCTCTCCCTAAGTAGCCTTACCCTGCCCCCCCCATAACAAACCCAGAATTTGATTGCTTACCCGGGCCCATCAGGAGTCGGGTATCTGTAAGGCCCCTGGGGTCCATAGGGCGGAGGGAATGGGAGATATGGGGGATACATCTGCAAAAAGGCCCAATAGCTGCTTAGAGGGATAAGCAGCCTGCCAGCCCTTTAAACATATTATCCCTCCCATCCTCCTGTCTCACTGGGGTCTACTTTCTGTGTCTTCCAAAGACTAAACCCTAATTCTGGTTTTCAGTGCGCCACTCCAAGTAACAAAGTCAAACTCACAAAGGGCGGCATCATTCCGCGGTAGGGAGGGAACTGGGGTGGGCCTGAAGGCTGCAGCCCACCCCGGGGATCATGACCATGATGAAGTTTGGAGTCCGGGCCCTCCAGTTCATCAGGGCCACGCCCACCTCCGTCCCTCCAAGTTGTAGAATCTGTAGTTTAGAAATGCAAAGGAGGAAAAGATAAGTTACCACTGATTTGGGCCAAGTGGCTGCATCAAAAAGCTGGGGAAGGTGGTGAGTAGTACAGCATGCAGCTCTTCCACAAAACAGGCAGAGCCTGGTTATGAGGCAAGCACTCACTCACACAAGGCAGCCACTCACTTTGGGGGCGGAGGCTTGGTCCGGGCCCAGACGACTGTTCGGCAGACTCCCTTTCCTTGGCAGCCTTGTCCTGGTCGCCAGCCGCCTGCAGGGTCGGAAATTCCTCTCGAGAGAATCGCGACAGTAGGTTTGATGCCCTTCCACCTGTTGAAATGAGGGCGTACACCAGACGGGTTCACTTCCTGAGCATGTACATCAAAGTGGAAGGCTCCAAATCCTGGGCGATTTGGACCCAAGACAAAGGCTCTCTCCTGAAGGATGCATGGCCCCTGCCTCCCTCCCACGAGCTCTAACACTCTGGCACTCACCATCTCCATGGGCTCCATGGGTGACACTGGCTTGTGCCCAGGACTTTACCCCGCTTGGAACCGAAGGAGTGTTCTAGGGAAGCCAGGGTAACAAATAGTCACAAGGAGAGCAGAGTAAGGGTCATTCTTCCTCCTCCAACCCCTCTAGTTCTCCAGGTACCTCGGGGGCTGTTGGGGGTCGTTTCGGCTGGTTGGAGGCAGGCGTCTGTGAAGCCGGCAGTGGCTGCGATTCCGGCGGCTGAGCGGTTGAGGCATCGGAACTGGGATAGCAGAATGGAAAGGTCATCCAGTTAGATGCTACTTCCTTCCTTCTCTAACTGGTACAAAGCTGGAACTGACCTCGCCTAGCACGACCATCTACAAACACTGGGACAGAAAAACTGTCACACAAGCCTTGTCTGTTTCTTCCTGTTTTCTCTCCACTGAGTTTAAGGTTTCATTTCTTTATCATCTAACAAACTAGGTGCAGAAGGTGCTTCTGTTTTTGTCTCTGGCTGAAGCCGAGGCCTTAATATACTCCCAAATTCAAAGCTAAAAGACTCATCAGGTTCCACAGGCCAGTCTACCTCTTGGGGTCGGACTGCTCCTGTTTGCTTGCCCATCCTGTTCCGTCTTTCGGCACTAGTGAGACATTGGGGTCATTGCCTTTGTTCTCGGCTTTCAGGCTTGGAAGGTTGGCTGGGGGTGGCATACGCCGGGCAATGGCAACTTTTCCGAGACTCTGCAGGCCATGTCGAGGGGCAACTGAAGAAAAGGTGGAGAGAAGGGTCAAAAAGCTCTCACGTGGGAGACCTAACCATGTCCCATCCACAGACCCTATTTACAACCTTTTCACTATAGGTTTTTCTCAGAAACCATTCCATTACTCAATAATCTCTAAGCTTTGCTGAGAAACATGAGATACAACATAATCATCACTCCTCTGTGGGATGGTAGATCCTGAACCTGCGGGGGGCAAGCTGGCCCCAGACCTTTCCAAATCCACATTGCTTTGCCTCCGATTCTTACGTGTCCAAGGACAGGGAACCAAAAACACGCCTTTGTAGGAGGATGACCTGTGTTTTACCCAGAGCCCGGCACCCCGTTCAGCACTGAAGATGAAACTGAGAGGTCTCCAGTATTCCTCTGGTCTGTTAGCTGCCTTTGTTGAAGAGCTCTAAAGCCCATACCCCACACATGCTCAGCCTGCAAATATCAGGAACGTCATTCCAGGACCCTCACCGGCGGGTTTCTGGATCTCTAAGGACTTGCCCTTGTACGTATCAAACAGGTTGAGCGAGGAATACTTCTTTCCATCCTTCCCCTTGGCAGTCGGCCCCGAGCGATCGGACATTGCGCTGGAAGCTCATTGAGTACGTTGGGTCCTGCAGGCACCTCCCCCAAAACGAGCCGGTGCCTGTGGACCAGACAGTTGGCAGCTCAGGTTCTGGCCCCTTCACAGACAAAAAGTCAGTCTAGAAGCTCTCTGTATTCTCTTTAGAGACCAGATTATGTGGCTCTCGAGCTTGTGTGAACTACAGTCTCTCCAGCAACCACAGCCCACTCGGCTTCCCGTCTCTTCTCCCTGACACATCCCGACAAAGAAAACCAAATAACAACCTAGTACCTTCCCGATCTACCCTTTGTGCCACTTTAGAAATGGCAGTTAATCTTTTTTCACTCCCCCAAAATAATTTCAGAGATAAAACCAAACCAAGTCAAAGCCCCAGAGAAAACGAGAATGAGGTACACAACTCCATTGAGCAAGTACGAGAACTTCAGATTGCCAACCCATTAGACACCAGCTCCCTAATCACGCCCCAGGGCCCTGTGTCCTAGGTTCCATTCCCAGCAGCCTTGAGTCCCAACTGGGGAGGTTTGAAGGAAGGTATGCTTGGAGCTTAAGGATTTTTATGAGCTTGCTTGGCCAGACCGGGAGCTGGTGCCAGAATCCGCCTCACTAAACAACAGGGGCTCCACACACTCCCAGGCTGAACAAAACCCCTGTATGCAGAATATTCCATCTACTCCTTAACTAGCCCCACCGTGGCTCTTGGAAACCTAAAAAAAAAAGAAAAAAAAAAAAACCAAAAAACTAGTGGACCCAATGTAAAACTACGGAAAAACAGAGCATTATGGAGCTGCCTCAAAAATACCCTGTAACCATGGGCCAGACAGCAGAGGGCCAAAACCAGAACCAACGACAATTTTTATCTTCATCCAATGTCTTCATAGGCAGTCATTTGTTTCCCTAACAGCCCTTACTCCCCAGACAGGCCAAAGCCTACATCTTAGTCCGTGCTGGAGTGACCAGGCACTCACTTGTGGGGTGGGAACGGTGTGAAAGAGAGAGATGGAAGATAGCGAGAAAGCATGCAGGCCGAGGGTGGAGGGCCAAAATCGGGGAGAGAACTTTACCATAAGCCGGAGACAAGAAGATGGGGGTTGCTCTATAGGCACTTAAGGAAGCCGACCTGAAATCTCCCACGGAGGGGGGGGACGCGGAAAAAAAATCACAGAGCGGACAGATTTAAACCAACAGAGAGAGAGAGTCAACGAGGAAGCAGGGACAGCTGAGGAAGGCTGGGGAGGGGGCAGCGTCAAAGGAGCCCGGGAGGAAAGAGGAAAAAGGAGGAGACGGGGGCTTCAGGGGAAACGCGGGGAGGCCAAGATGCCGGGCGAAAGCAGGGCTCCGGGATGGGAGTGACTCGACGCGAAGACCAAGGGAGAACGGGAACCAGGCCGCCGGGTGGTGGGAAGGCCCCCGGGAAGCCGGAGAGACCCTCAAAGGGAAGGTCTAACAGGCGGCCGAGGGCCCGCAGCCCGGCCGAGGGGCTGAGGGCGCGACGCGGGCAGGAACCGCGGCCCGGAGCGCGGCCGGGCCCTGAGGAGACGGCCGCTGGGCTGCGGGCGGCCCCCGGCCCTCCACGGCGGCCTGGGAGCGGCCGGCGCAGGCCGAGGGGGAGGGGCAGGCCGGCGGCAGGAGGACAAGATGGCGGCGGCTGATGGCAGCTTCTCCCCCGGCCCGCCGTCGCCGCCGCCCCGCGCCGGAAAGGGCGTCAGCGCCCGGCTCGCCCAGACTCACCTGGCCGGGTGTGTGGGGGTACGGGACCCGGGCTTAGAGGCTTCCCGGGGCGGATGGCGGCGGGGCGGGGGCGGATGGCGGCGGATGGCGCCGCGCTCGGCTCCTCCCGTCTCCCTCGCTCACTCCGCGGCTGGGCTCCGACTAACGGCCCATCCGGGCAACCGCCGCCCCCGGGAGCACCCCCCACCTCCCGCCTCCCTCAGCGGCTGGTCACGCCCCCTGATTTGCATAGGGGGCGGAGCCCTTTCTCTGCGACCCCTCCGCTCCACTGGGTCGTCCCTACTTTAAAAAATAAAGGCAGTGTGTGGAGGATATTTGCATAAAGGGGAGGGACTTACAGACGCTAGGACGCCGGTTGGCTAGAGAGACGCCTCGGCGTCGGCAGTTGAGACGCGTAGACCAGGCGGAATGCGGGGCCGTTGGGGCGCAGAATTTACACGACGGATGGTGGGAGAAAAAGGATGCGCATGCGTGGTGCGTCCACGGAAGGCTGGGAGCGGGACGCAGGAAAGGGATGCTAGGCCCCGGCCACTCTCAGCGGAGAAGACGGAAAGAACTGCGACGAATGGAAGGGATTAGCTAGTCGAGGGCGGAGGTACACAGACCCTGGAAGAATTTCAGGTCTGGTGTCCATTCGGGAGAGGTAAACGCGTCAGGGAGGCGGGGCTATCCACTTATCAAATCACGTTATGCAAATGAAGTGGATAGGCAAGCCAATCAAAGGGTCCAGAGGAGTGTATCATTGACTTTCTTTGAGTAGGCGTTCTTCGAGTGGTTCTGGGTATTTGCATAATATATGCAAATAATTTGAACAAAGACAAGGAATGACTTACTCTTCCAAATTTTAGCAGCGAATAACTACGGCGGACATTTGGCATTTACTTTTATGCTCAGTAATTTTCAAAACGGTGTTTTTATAATTAATGTTCTTTCAACACTGAGTTTCAGCTTTAAAGGTAGTACTATTTCCCCTCTTTGTTTCTTAGTACTTGACTGTGGAATCGTTTGCCTCTCACCACACCTACTACCTACTCTACATTTTCGTGTTAATTCTTACGTGTATTGGTGGGTACACTGGCCTCTATGGGTGCTTGTGCAAGCCAGAGGTCTCCCCCAAACACTTTATTCTTTGAGACATATTCTTTAATCTTTCAGTGAATCTTGGTACTTGGTTGGGTGAGCTCAGATGCCATATGGACCAGGCAATGAGCTCCAGAGATCTCCCTGTCTCTGCATCCAGGTGCTGAAGTTACAGACACTAGTGATCCGCCCAGCCTGTACATGAGAGGTCCAACCATAGGCCCTAGTGCTTGCACAGCAAGCATTTCTTCCAGTGAGCCATTTCCCCAACTCTAGAAATAACATTTACTTATTCTTATTTTATGTGTACGTGTATCTACATATATGCATGTGTACCAAGTGGGTTCATGGTGCCGAAGCAATCATCAGAACAGGATGTTGGATCTCTTTGAACTGGAATTACTGGAGGTCATGATATAGGTGTTGGAGATCAAATCCAGGTCCTCTGGAAGAACAGCAGATGCTGAACAGTCTCTCCAGTGGCCATGAGTAACAGTTTGAAGTACCAGAGACACGCACGGGATATTGTAGAGGCAGAGAAATAACCTGACGTCCTGGTGGGAGCAGGTTGAAAGTGTTCTAGGAATCGTCAGAATATATGGGGAGAGAGAGAAGGGGTGGGGAGAGAGTAGCGCTTGCCATCCACAGTAATTCCAGTGCTGCAGAGGCAAGAGACAGGTGGAGCCCCCAGGACTCCCTGGCCTGCCAGCATGCTCTCTCAGGCTAGTTCAAGGCCCATGAGAGAACCCATCTCAGAACCACACACACAAAACCAAGGTGGGCATAATCTGAGAAATGGCAGCCAAGGTTGTTACTCTCTGGCCTCTTCCATATGTATCTGCCTCTGCCTCTGCCTCTCTCTCTCTCTCTCTCTCTCTCTCTTTCTCTCTCTTTCTCTGTCTCTCTCTCTCTCACACACACACACAGACACACACACACGGTGTAAATCTTAGTCCATTTTGGGACATATTGAAACTGAAATGCTGCCAGGCGGTGGTGGCCTTTAATCCCAGCACTTGGGAGGCAGAGGCAGGCGGATCTCTGAGTTCGAGAGTTCGAGGCTAGCCTGGTCTACAGAGTGAGTTCCAGGACACCCAGGGCTACACACAGAGAAACCCTGTCTCGAAAAACAAAACAAAACAAAACAAAAAAAGAAACTGAAATGCTGCCTGTTGTCAAGGGCCAAAGGATCCTAGGCTCACCCACCAGGAAGCTGCAATTCCGTTTGCTACCAAGGGTTGAAGAATTCTGATCTCTCCCTACCTACACAAGAGCTATGTGAGAGGTTTACACTAGAGGGCGCCAGTGCTGCAGAGCATAGCTCAGGTACTGGAGACAAATGAGTAGCACGAGATGCAGAGGTCTCAGCTGTGCCCAGCTGGCGCAGGTAAATAAAAGAACCACCTGTCCAACAGGGACAATGAAGATGAAAAGCAAGCAGGACACAGTTAGCATGTGGGGCCCGGAGAGATGGCTCAGAGGTTAAGGGCACTGTCTGCTCTTCCAGAGGTCCTGAGTTCAATTCCCAGCAACCACAAGGTGGCTCACAACCATCTGTAATAGGTTCCGATGCCCTCTCCTGGCCTGCAGACATACATGCAGGCAGAATGGTGTGTACATAATAAATGAATAAATCTTTAAAAGAATTAACATGTGCTTGTAAATCTTGAAACACTCCACTTAGAGCACTGGGTCCGCAGCACTGTTAAAACCTGTCCAAATTGTTATTAAGTAACAAGTTCTTTAGGGTAAGTACTCTTCTGATCACTTCCCTGTGAACGGAAGACACTGGAGCATGGGACAGTTTGACTCCTTGGTGCCTGGTTGGACTCTCCCTTCTTACCTACACTGGCTTCTTTAAGAGGAGGGGCAGTCAGTCAAAAGCTAGCCAGACTACTCTTTGCCGA